AAAAATAAAAACATTTTACTCCAAATTATGAATATGAGTCGAGATCCACGAGGTCATATTTCTTTAAGGCTTCCTCGAGTGATAATCACCACCAAAAATATGTATTAGTATAGTTCAATACGTTTGCTTTTTAAAATTATTATTATCATGAAAACCTGATGTGCTAGAGGAAAAAAAATTGAGGGCAGTTTCGGAGGTGGCGCAAAAAAAATTCAGAAAAGTTGACTTGCATCTCCGATTAAAAAAAGGGAAAACATTTGTTGACCAGTGTTTAAGTGCTTTTTTATTTTTTTTATTTTAAACAACCCTATTCAAAATACAGTAGTCCAATAGTAATGTACTTTTTCCAACTTAAAAAAAATGTCTGCCACTTCACTTTTGTTTAAGCTTTTTAAAATACTTTTTCTTATACTTAATTTGGTGGTTCCCTAATTAATTTTTTTAAATTGAGCTTTATTTTTGACAATTATTTTGAAATTATTTTTTACCCCTCCCATCTCATGCTATCCAATACAAAGCAAAGCGAAAGTCATCAAGCTCACCTTCTCTGCCATTTTTAGGACGCCGTCCCTCAGCTCTTGCATCACATCGCTCATCTCCAGAGCCTTGTTGGAGCTCAAGTGATTGAAGTCCCGCGCACGGTTCTTGTTCCTGTTCTGGTCCTGGCGCATGCTCTGGTGCAGTTGTGACAAGGGGTCCCCCCAGGCTCCCAGCAGCCTCAGGATCACCTCGGTCAGCTGCTCTCTCTGCACACACGGGAGGGAAGCTTCTATTGTTGGATGACAAATTTGAATCTTTGAAGCAGAATGAAGTTGGTATTGAGGGGAACTGACTGGAAAGGCATCATGTTCTTTTGCTTTGGCGTTAGTATACATCCATGCGAAATAGATAGCTCTGCTAGCCCACATGAGAGGCCATCGCAGGACATTAATTTCTCCATATTTTTTTTCTGACTTCACTTGAGCGGCGACACATCCGAAGCCTGCTCGTACCTTAAATTTTTGTCTTTTAACACGCAACTTGAAAAATTCACTTGGAGCACATGTATGTCAAGGCACCACTGTAGCCTACTTGCAAGAAATCTTGTTTTCGGTAGCGTGATGCTAAATTTCCCCCACTGCATTCAAATTCCCTACTAAAAAGGTAAACTTCTATTATGTCAATTTCTGGTTAATTTCCGTTCATTTCCAATTTTGGAAATGAGCAGATTTTTGAAACCCTCTGAACAATGCACGTTTTTTTTGTGTGTGTGTGTGTGTGTGTGTGTGTGTGTGTGTGTGTAGAGCATGCGTACTCACGTCTAGATTTTTGGCATTCTGTTTGTCACCAGAGAGAGAGAGAAGAAAGAAGTCAGAGGGTTAGAGAGAGATGGAATGAGAAAGAGGGGGCAGAGTGGGGGAGTGAGAGAGAAAGAAGGAGAGAGAGACTCAATTTTCCATCCATCCATTTTCCGATCTGCTTTATCCGCACAAGGGTCATGGGGGGGTGCTGGAGCCGATCCCAGCGTAGGCGGGGGACACCCTGAACCGGTTGCCAGCCTGAGATGGAATGAGAAAGGGGGCAGAGCAGGGGAGTGAGAGAGAAAGAGGGAGAGAGACTCAATTTTCCATCCATCCATTTTCTGATCCGCTTTATCCGCACAAGGGTCATGGGGGGGTGCTGGAGCCGATCCCAGCGTAGGCGGGGGGC